AAGTATATTTTTGTATGTTCAAATGGGACTGTGTGAAAAGGGAAGATATTTAATATATAGACCAGGTAAATATAAAACAATTATTTACAGCCGCGCCGATATAGGCTGCGATACAACATGACGTGGGAAATTCTTTTTTCAATTCGCTCTCCTATTTTATATTGATATGGGCTACAACGTACATTGTCGTTTGCTTTAAATTGTTCTTTTATTTCAAGAGCAATCAATGAACAGTGTGTGAAAAGAAATTCAAAAACACTACACGTACTGATCTGCCAGTTCCGAGTAATTTCAGTGAAGGGCAATTAATTCTTCCACAGTCTATTTATCCCAAATATTAACAAATAATTCACTTTGTTGATTTATTGTTAGGTTGAGTCGTTTTCACACATCAATGCACCCACTGGTAAATAAGGCGACATTTGTAAGATCTGAAAAGATGGCCATTGGAAATAACATTGATAAAGAATTATTAAAGCCAAAAACATAGATCTATTTGTTGTAGCCTGAAGGAGGAAACGAAGTGGGGATTCTCTTGGTCGTCTGTTTAGTAGCTTGCACGCACGCACGCACGCACATTTATGTGGGTAGGGAATACCTATTATTGGCTGTTTTCATTTGTCGTGAATCGATATTTCACGTTAGGAATGAGCTGCGATGTTATTCTCCACAGTTCCTTTTTCTGAATTTTCCAATTATAAAATGATGTCTTTGAAGAGCCTTTTTACGTGAATAATTATTTTCATATCGAAAATGGGAAAACGATGTATTAAATTTGGAGCAGCCAAAAACTATCAAGAAACGCCTGAGATAGTCTGACAAGTTGCTACCAAGTTTACATGTCACAATATGATGTGCAGTCCTAGTTTATACATGCAAACACATAAACCTGACGATGACAAGGTTTGAGTCACTATCAGATTAATAAGGAAGAATGGATGGTTTCTGATATCTATGAAATAATGAACTAATTTACATGATCCGTGATTGATGGAAAGAGTATCTGTGATCTGTGAAAAGATGGTGTCAATTACCTGTACACAGCTATTAGACAAAAGCATTCCCTCCCCTCTCTTTGTGTGAGATTAGTCTCTCTTGGGGTGCACGTAATGACACTAGACGACCCGTACACAATACAACATACGGAAGGCCGACAGAAAACATGTCGTTTTGTAATCACCGATCTTGTGAAAAATTGCTGACACACCATGTTCGTTGAGTGAGTGAGTGAGTGCATGTTTTCGTTAAGATTCAGAAACCCATGCTTGCCGTAAAAGGCGACTAAGGGTGTCGTAAGAGGTGATTAATGGGGTCCGGTAGTCAGACTCTCAGACTTGGTTGATGCATGTCATCACAGAGCGTGGATCGATATTCATGATGTCAATCACAACATTGTCTGGTCCAGACGCGATTATTTACGGACCGCCGACATATAGCTGGAATATTGCTAAGTTTGGCATTAAAACAAACAAACAAACAAACATATTGTTTCGCTTTCTTTATTAAAAGCTTTTATTGTCAAGGAATGAAACTCAAATGAACGTCCACAGCATTTTACTGTGGCCTCCTGGCCATTTGTACATTGATTCAGAAGAAAATAGGAAAACTAAATTGGTTTGATCCGACTTTTGTAACTCAGGTAAACAATCGGTTCAGATTCCAAAATGGTGCACTGCCATATGCTTAGGTCTGTTTTATTCATTGGCAGAAATATTCAGTGAATACTACCTTAGTGTGAATAGACCCATGAAAAGAAAGAGTGAGTGAGTTAAAAATTAATGTTGCATCGGCATTATTTCAGGCAGATAGCGACCATGAAAAGAAAGAACTAACGAAGGAACAAACACTCACTTACTCTCACTCAATGATTCATTCAGTCAAACACTCTGGTGACTCAATCGATCCTCCTTGTGAACAGAGATTCACATCTATACATGCATTGATTCACTTTCTCACTCCCCATGTTCAATCCCCATCTAACCACACCTCCCCATGTTATACCCCCCACTCACCATGATATATCCTCCATTCCCCCATGTTATATACTCCACTCCCCATGTTATACCCCCACTCCCATGTTATATCCTCCATTCTCCATGTTATATCCTCCACTCCCATGTTATATCCTCCACTCCCCATGTTATACCCCCACTCCCATGTTATATCCTCCATGTTATATCCTCCACTACCTATGTTATATCCCCACAACCACACCTCCCCATGTTATACCCCACTTCCATGTTATATCCTCCATGTTATATCCTCCGCTACCTATGTTATATCCCCCACTCCCCATTGCATATCCCCAACCCCCCCCCCCCCCACACACACACTCCCATGTTATATCCTCCATGTTATATCCTCCACTACCTATGTTATATCCCAACAACCCCCCCCCCCCCACTCCCATGTTATATCCTCCATTCTCCATGTTATATCCTCCTCTGCCTATGTTATATCCCCCACTCCCCATGATATATCCCAACAACCCCCCCCCCCCCCCCACTCCCATGTTATATCCTCCATTCTCCATGTTATATCCTCCTCTGCCTATGTTATATCCCCACAACCACACCTCCCCATGTTATATCCTACATTCCCCATGTTATATTCTCCATTCCCCATGTTATATCCTCCACTACCTATGTTATATCCCCCACTCCCCATGGTATATCCCAACAACCACCCCCCACTCCCATGTTATATCCTCCATTCTCCATGTTATACCCTCCTCTGCCTATGTTATATCCCCACCAACCACATCTCCCCATGTTATATCCTACATTCCCCATGTTATATTCTCCACTACCTATGTTATATCCCAACCAACCACATCTCCCCATGTTATATCCTTCATTCCCCATGTTATATCCTCCCCTACCTATGTTATATCCCCACCAACCACATCTCCCCATGTTATATCCCCCACTCCCATGTTATACCCCCTACTCCCATGTTATATCCCCCACTCACCATGTTATGTCCCCCACTCACCATGTTATATTCCCCATTCCCTATGTTATATCCTCCACTAACCACACCTCCCAGGTTATATCCATCACTAACATCCACTCACCATGTTATATCCCCACCAACCACACCTCCCCATGTTATACCCCCTACTCCCATGTTATACCCCCTACTCCCATGTTATGTCCCCCACTCACCATGTTATGTCCCCCACTCACCATGTTATATCCTCTACTCCCATGTTATATCCCCCACTCACCATGTTACATTCCCCATTCCCTATGTTATATCCTCTACTCTCCATGTTATATCCTCCACTAACCACACCTCCCAGGTTATATCCATCACTAACATCCACTCACCATGTTATATCCCCTACCAACCACACCTCACTATGTTATATATAAAGGCTTGCCCAAACCTTGCCCTGGTCCCCTTACCCTAAGACTCTTAACAGGGGATCCCAACCATTGCCCTGGTCCCCTAACCCTAAGACCCTAACAGGGGAGCCCCACCCTTGCCCTGGCTCCCTAACCCTAAGACTCTTAACAGGGGATCCCAACCATTGCCCTGGTCCCCTAACCCTAAGACCCTAACAGGGAAGCCCCACCCTTACCCTGGCTCCCTAACCCTAAGACTCTAACAGGGGATCCCAACCCTTGCCCTGGTCCCCTAACCCTAAGACTCTAACAGGCGAGCCCCACCCTTCCCCCCTGAGCCTAAGACCCTAATAGGCGAGCCCAACCCTTCCCCCCTGAGCCTAAGACCCAAACATGGGAGCCCCACCCTTGCCCTGGTTCCCTAACCCTAAGACTCTAACAGGCGAGCCCCACACTTCCCCCCTGAGCCTAAGACCCTAACAGGCGAGCCCCACCCTTCCCCCCTGAGCCTAACACCCAAACATGAGAGCACCACCCTTGCCCTGGTTCCCTAACCCTAAGACTCTAACAGGCGAGCCCCACCCTTCCCCCCTGAGCCTAAGACCCTAACAGGCGAGCCCCACCCTTCCCCCCTGAGCCTAAGACCCAAACATGGGAGCCCCACCCTTGCCCTGGTTCCCTAACCCTAAGACTCTAACAGGGGAGCCCCAACCTTGCCCTGGTTCCCTAACCCAAAGACCCTAACAGGCGAGCCCCACCCTTCCCCCCTCAGCCTAAGACCCAAACATGGGAGCCCAACCCTTGCCCTGATCCCCTAACCCTAAGACCCTAACAGGCGAGCCCCACCCTTGCCCCCTGACCCTAAGACCCAAACATGGGAGCCCCACCCTTGCCCTGGTCCCCTGACCCTAAGACCCTAACAAGTGAGCCCCATACTTGCCCCATGACCCTAAGACCCAAACATGGAGCCCCAGCCTTGCCCTGGTCCCCTGACCCTAAGACCCTAACAGGGGAGCACCACCCTTGCCCTGGTCCCCTAACCTTAAGACCCTAATAGGGGAGCCCAAGCCTTGCCCTGGCTCCCTAACCCTAAAACCCTAACAGGGGAGCACCACCCTTGCCCTGGTCCCCTAACCTTAAGACCCTAATAGGGGAGCCCCACCCTTGCCCTGGTCCCCTAACCCTAAGACCCTAACAGGGGAGCACCACCCTTGCCCTGGTGCCCTAACCCTAAGACCCTAACAGGGGAGCACCACCCTTGCCCTGGTGCCCTAACCTTAAGACCCTAATAGGGGAGCCCCAGCCTTGCCCTGGTCCCCTAACCCTAAGACCCTAATAGGGGAGCCCCAGCCTTGCCCTGGTCCCCTAACCTTAAGACCCTAATAGGGGAGCCCCAGCCTTGCCCTGGCTCCCTAACCCTAAGACCCTAACAGGGGAGCCCAACCATTGCCCTGATCCCCTAACCCTAAGACCCTAATAGGGGAGCCCCAACCTAGCCCCACCCTTGCCCTGGTTCCCTAACTCTAAGACTCTAATAGGGGAGTCCCATCCTTGCCCTTGCTCCCGAACCCAAAGACAATAACAGGGGAGCCCAACCCTTGCCCTGGCTCCCTAACCCTAAGACCCTAACAGGGGAGCCCCACCCTTGCCCTGGTTCCCTGACCCTAAGACTCTAACAGACGAACCCAACCATTGCCCTGGCTTGGCGTGGCCGTGGACACCAGGCAGACCGGAACTGAAACAAGAATTTGAAGTTTAGACCTGGACAACTTGTGACTTTTCTGCAACACTTACTGTGCATAATCAAGACATCCTCATGATACACAAAATTATCAGTACTGAAAAAAATATTTGCAAGAGAAGGCATGTGAGATCAGTGAACAGGTGAACAAGAGAAGGCATGTGAGATCAGTGAACAGGTGAAGGCAAGTGAGATCAGTGAACAGGTGAACAAGTGAAGGCAAGTGAGATCAGTGAACAGGTGAAGGCATGTGAGATCAGTGAACAAGTGAAGGCATGTGAGATCAGTGAACAGGTGAAGGCATGTGAGATCAGTGAACAGGTGAACAAGTGAAGGCAAGTGAGATCAGTGAACAGGTGAAGGCATGTGAGATCAGTGAACAAGTGAAGGCAAGTGAGATCAGTGAACAGGTGAAGGCATGTGAGATCAGTGAACAGGTGAACAAGACAAATGTGATGGAGTATTTCATGTTAAGGAAAGACCATGTGTAGGTTCTAATTGCCAAGACATGGTTGCTGTCACTCCTCTACTCAACAGAGGCTGTCAGGTGCACTCCTCTACTTAATAGGGGCTGTCAGGTGCATGTCTGTACTGAACAGAGGCTGTCAGGTGCTTGTCTCCACTCAACAGGGGCTGTCAGGTGCTTGTCTCTACTCAACAGGGGCTGTCAGATGCATGTCTCTACTCAACAGGGGCTGTCGGGTGCTCGTCTCTACTCAACAGGGGCTGTCAGGTGCACTCCTCTACTCAATAGGGGCTGTCAGGTGCTTGTCTCTACTCAACAGAGGCTGTCAGGTGCATGTCTCTACTCAACAGAGGCTGCCGGGTGCTCGTCTCTACTCAACAGGGGCTGTCAGGTGCACTCCTCTACTCAATAGGGGCTGTCAGGTGCTTGTCTCTACTCAACAGGGGCTGTCAGATGCATGTCTCTACTCAACAGGGGCTGTCGGGTGCTCGTCTCTACTCAACAGGGGCTGTCAGGTGCACTCCTCTACTCAATAGGGGCTGTCAGGTGCTTGTCTCTACTCAACAGAGGCTGTCAGGTGCTTGTCTCTACTCAACAGAGGCTGTCAGGTGCATGTCTCTACTCAACAGGGGCTGTCAGGTGCACTCCTCTACTCAATAGGGGCTGTCAGGTGCTTGTCTCTACTCAACAGGGGCTGTCAGGTGCATGTCTCTATTCAACAGGGGCTGTCAGGTGCACTCCTCTACTCAACAGAGGCTGTCAGGTGCATGTCTCTACTCAACAGGGGCTGTTGGGTGCTCGTCTCTACTCAACAGGGGCTGTCAGGTGCACTCCTCTACTCAATAGGGGCTGTCAGGTGCTTGTCTCTACTCAACAGAGGCTGTCAGGTGCATGTCTCTACTCAACAGAGGCTGCCGGGTGCTCGTCTCTACTCAACAGAGGCTGTCAGGTGCATGTCTCTACTCAACAGGGGCTGTCGGGTGCTCGTCTCTACTCAACAGGGGCTGTCGGGTGCTCGTCTCTACTCAACAGGGGCTGTCAGGTGCAAGTCTCTACTCAACAGGGGCTGTCAGGTGCTTGTCTGTACTCAACAGAGGCTGTCAGGTGCATGTCTCTACTCAATAGGGGCTGTCAGGTGCATGTCTCTACTCAACAGAGGCTGTCAGGTGCATGTCTCTACTCAACAGAGGCTGTCAGGTGCATGTCTCTACTCAACAGGGGCTGTCGGGTGCTCGTCTCTACTCAACAGGGGCTGTCAGGTACATGTCTCTACTCAACAGAGGCTGTCAGGTGCTTGTCTCTACTCAACAGGGGCTGTCAGGTGCGTGTCTCTACTCAACAGAGGCTGTCAGATGCATGTCTCTACTCAACAGGGGCTATCAGGTGCATGTCTCTACTCAACAGGGGCTGTCAGATGCATGTCTCTAGTCAACAGAGGCTGTCAGATGCTTGTCCCTACTCAACAGGGGCTGTCAGGTGCACTCCTCTACTCAACAGGGGTTGCCTGGTGCTTGTCTCTATTCAACAGGGGCTGTCAGGTGCACTCTTCTACTCAACAGGGGTTGTCAGGTGCACTCCTCTACTCTACAGCGGCTGTCAGGTGCTTGTCTCTACTCAACAGGGGCTGTCAGGTGCTTGTCTGTACTCAACAGGGGCTGTCAGATGCATGTCTCTACTCAACAGGGGCTGTCAGGTGCAAGTCTCTACTCAACAGGGGCTGTCAGATGCTTGTCTCTACTCAACAGGGGCTGTCAGGTGCACTCCTCTACTCAACAGGGGTTGCCTGGTGCTTGTCTCTATTCAACAGGGGCTGTCAGGTGCACTCTTCTACTCAACAGGGGCTGTCAGGTGCACTCCTCTACTCTACAGGGGCTGTCAGGTGCTTGTCTCTACTCAACAGAGGCTGTCAGGTGCTTGTCTCTACTCAACAGGGGCTGTCAGGTGCTTGTCTCTACTCAACAGAGGCTGTCAGGTGCAAGTCTCTACTCAACAGAGGCTGTCAGGTGCTTGTCTCTACTCAACAGGGGCTGTCAGGTGCTTGTCTGTACTCAACAGGGGCTGTCAGGTGCTTGTCTCTACTCTACATAATAATAAGACTTTGTCTTGTCCCTACCATCGATGTGTCTGGGTGTGTTTGTGTGTCTCTCCTGGCTTAGCCTCCAGACACTACATTAGTGACTGTGTACTCTGTGCCCAGTTCTCTGTTGTGGGTGGTGGTGATGGTGTCTCTCCTGGCTTAGCCTCCAGACACTACATTAGTGACTGTGTACTCTGTGCCCAGTTCTCTGTTGTGGGTGGTGGTGATGGTGTCTCTCCTGGCTTAGCCTCCAGACACTACATTAGCGACTGTGTACTCTGTGCCCAGTTCTCTGTTGTGGGTGGTGGTGATGGTGTCTCTCCTGGCTTAGCCTAAAGACACTACATTTGTGACTGTGTACTCTGTGCCCAGTTCTCTGTTGTGGGTGGTGGTGATGGTGTGACCAACAGCTGGTGGCAGTGGTCCTCAGCTGCAACAAAATTACTCAATTCAAATTGGATAACAATGATAAACATGATCCTGAATGAAATTCTCCGGATGAAGCTGAGCATGCTGTGTGGAAGATGTCAAACAAATGAAACTACATCTTCTGAGACCTAAAACAGGGTTCGAAATTAAGCATGAGACTCAAAGAGTACTTGTCATAGCCCTAATGTGAAAAGTTCAAAATTTAAGTGGCTTCCTTTAATTGAATGCTATAACAACAAACCTGAAGGACCCCGGGACCCCCTTATTTTCAAACATATAAAAGAACAATTCATAATATCAAGGATTTCTGTTAATTTCAAACCCTGCAAAAGATTTTTGCCATTTCTTATGAGAAAGGTACTTCCTATATTTGACTGGCATGAAAAACTTTGTATGATTTAAGGTATCATCTTCCCATGCCAGGCCCAATCTCAGAAAAAGTGTTGTTGTTTATAATTTTCAAAAAGACATTTGACTGGCATGAACAATCAGTGAAGATCTGGGTTACAATTGATCTCCAGCAGTCCATGCTTGTCGTAGACTAATCGGATTGGGTGGTCAGGCTCGCTGACTTGGTTGATGCATGTTGTTGCATCCTACTTGCATAGACCAATTGATTGTCATGATTTCAATCACCGGATTGTCTGGTCCAGCCTGATTATTTTCATATATGCTGTCATATAGCTGGAATACTGCTGAATGTGGCGTTACACAACAACAACAGCTTTGAGCACCATACCACTGCAGCTTCCTCAGCCCTGTAGCAAGGTTTGGAAAAGTTAACTTAATTAAGGTAAAAATCAATTCATAAAAAAAGTTTAATAAATAAAAATGATGTTATTATCCACATTGTTTATTACACATCATAGCAAAGTATTTCAGCCAGTGGTCTCTGAGGAATTAAGTCTGAAAGTTTTTTAAAGATATTTTACCATTTTTTTTATCAAGTTACTAGACTATATTTTTCATTCTTCAAAATGTCAAAATGTGTTTCTAAACAGAAAATCAAGATTACTGCTTGCTGTGGCCTGTAGATTACACATAATTGTCCTGGTTGGTTGGTTGGTTTGTTGTTTACGCCGCACTCAGCAACATTCCAGCTAATCGAGTCTGGACCAGACAATCCAGTGATTGATATCATGAACATTGATCCACGCAACTGAGGCAAAGTAATTAACGGTCAAAACATGCTAGATTCAATTTAAATACCATAGTCAGTGGCCACTTCAAATATATTAAATTATCTGAACAAAAAACACACAGGTAATGGCTAACGATTGCGTGCTTGCCATTTAAACAAAACGATACTTTCGAAAGAGAGCTTTTTAACAAACTTTAGGCTGACAATACTAGAGAGATATCATGCGAGAAAAGGTAAAACAACCCAAATTAACACTGGACACACTTACGGCGCATCTGTGTATACAAGAATGCAGTTCATTTACAATTAGCGGTCATAATATTAATGAACATTGCTCCATTATTTCCTGGGAGGAGCGAGAATTGACACCAAGGAGCATGTCTTGCCTCGGCCGCACCCAGCAGTGCCTGGTGGTGCAGCCGAATGCAAGTCTTGCTATATCCGTGGCTACAACTTTATCTATATATGCAAAATATTTTTAAAAAGTATTAATAAGGAAAGATACTACCTTATGTATCCACGGGCTGATAAGGCATCCCTTGACATATCATATTTTGCTTATAAAACAGCAAACATTGTGGTTATCATTCATAAAAACGCTTCCTGGCCGCCATTTTGTTCAAGAAAGTTCAAGGTCGTGTTGCATGGTGCTAGACTTACGCTTCGTCTGTGAGAATAAATAATTTTAAAAGAAACAACTCCATTTAAATTTAAAAGGAGCCTCATTGAGAATGTGAGGAAAATCCAAATTTGCTCTATTTCGGGCTGTTGCATTGCAGAAAGGGCCGGGCGGAAGGGAATAAAATATGGTTCAGGGACTGACTGGTTGAAATCTCCCATCTAGCTTGCATGTTATAAACTTGGCAGTGACTCAGCTGTCAGTAGTATCAAGTCAAATTTCAGCTTGGCATAAAAACCAGTAAGTTTTGAGAAATGTTTACAATCAAAAGACCAATGTTTCACAGACTCGTTTTGCCGGACTGTGACTAATACCATAATTTTCTTTTAAAGGAATAATGGATTTGTGTTACCAAAACCTTTACTTTTATGGAAAAGTGTTCTTCATAATGTAGAGAAATTATATACAACGTCACGTGACGTGAATGCAGGCGTGGTCAGACATTCAACAGGCAACAGAATGTGTACTAAAACGTATTGACGCTAAACAGAAAAAGAAAAATGTAGTTTTTCACAGCTGTTTAAAATACTCACTGGGATCCTGATATAAATTACTACTATCTTGAAATTTCAACTTATATCTTGAAATTTTAACTTCTATATCTTGAAATTTCAACTTCTTTATCTTGATATTTCAAGATAGTATCGAAAAAAATATAAAAAACAAATGGCCCTAAAAGGCTTCCGTAAATTACACTTCCCAGGTGATTTTTGTTTGCAAAAGGCATGGGGTTATTTCGTCTATCTTACGCTTAAAAACACCAAAGCCGGACACTTTCTGGATGTTCACCAATTAATCAGTTGTAATGAATGTTTCTTTGCTTCTCCCTCCAAGGACCACATAGGGAAAGACAACCCCGACGTCTTTGCGTTTGCAGTGGTAGGGCCTTCCGGCTCGGATATTGCTCGTTAATGGTTATGGCCGTGGACGTATGGGACGTAGACCAAGAATTGGTGTTGCAGTGGACGTTGCAGTTAGTGTTCTGTGTTGAAGACCTGAAGGTAGCGGCCCTTGGCTGCTGTTGTGATGCGAGCTTCCTAGTGTTCCAATGAGATTTGTTAATTATTCATTGATCTTGCGTTTCTTTTGGAAATAACTACATAACAAAAGTAAAAGCTTGTTAGTGATTTTTAATGCAAGATAACCATCAGAGCTACATTACAGTATGTAACAAATGATCCGATGGAACTTAGCCCCCAAAAGTACTAGAATATGTACTTTACTGAGAAAGTGTTAACCCCAAACATAACATGTTACATTTGACCACTCTTTAAATGGCATTGTATGTGTGTTCATACATTAGTCCAGTTCCAAAAAATATTATCAGTGGAGCTTTCAAGGTACATACGAGTTCTGTTTCCAATATGACAAACTGACGGTGAAAGGTCATGGAACAAACAGACACAATTCTCCTCTACATGACGTAAGATGTTTTATCTTATTTATAAATCAAAACTATTTCAACACTTTCCGTGAATCTTAGGAAACAGACGTAAAATATTTCTGGCTGGCGTATTATTATGTACTTGAAAATGAGATTCTTAAATCATTGTGATTTATTTAGTGTTTCACTCCGAGTCTATAGCTGCGAAAGTTCGACCCATTTCAATGTAAAATCAACAGTATTTTGTGTGTGAAATCGAGGGAGAGGGTAAACATTAGTACATTTGTCTGTAACAAATTCATGAACATGTAAGAAAGCTGTGATCCTGCCCAATCGTAGTATCGCTTGAAAGGGTCTTTCTCCACCGGAAATAAGTGTATCATATACATACTTACCTAACTAATAGTATTATGGCTTCTTAGGATATATCCCAAGCATGAATATTTTGTGTCTTTTATTACGCGTCCTTCGTAATTCACCAAACGAGACAATTCTACGCCATTTACAGCCAAGCCGTGATCCTGCCCAATCGTAGTATTGCTTGAAAGGGTCTTTCTCCACCGGAAATAAGTGTATCATATACATACTTACCTAACTAATAGTATTATGGCTTCTTAGGATATATTGAAAGCATGAATATTTTGTGTCTTTTATTACGCGTCCTTCGTAATTCACCAAACGAGACAATTCTACGCCATTTACAGTCAATCGTGATCCTGCCCAATGGTAGTATCGCTTGAAAGGGTCTTTCTCCACCGGAAATAAGTGTATCATATACATACTTACCTAACTAATAGTATTATGGCTTCTTAGGATATATTGAAAGCATGAATATTTTGTGTCTTTTATTACGCGTCCTTCGTAATTCACCAAACGAGACAATTCTACGCCATTTACAGTCAATCGTGATCCTGCCCAATGGTAGTATCACTTGAAAGGGTCTTTCTCCACCGGAAATAAGTGTATCATATACATACTTACCTAACTAATAGTATTATGGCTTCTTAGGATATATTGAAAGCATGAATATTTTGTGTCTTTTATTACGCGTCCTTCGTAATTCACCAAACGAGACAATTCTACGCCATTTACAGTCAAGCCGTGATCCTGCCCAATGGTAGTATCGCTTGAAAGGGTCTTTCTACACCGGAAATAAGTGTATCATATACATACTTACCTAACTAATAGTATTATGGCTTCTTAGGATATATCCCAAGCATGAATATTTTGTGTCTTTTATTACGCGTCCTTCGTAATTCACCAAACGAGACAATTCTACGCCATTTACAGTCAAGCCGTGATCCTGCCCAATGGTAGTATCACTTGAAAGGGTCTTTTTCCCACGGAAATAAGTGTATCATATACATACTTACCTTAATAATTGCATTATGGCTTCTAAGAATATATTAAAAGCGTGAATATTTTGTGTCTATTATTCCGCGTCCTTCTTAATTCACCAAACGAGACAATTCTACGCCATTTCAAGGCAAGCCGCATACATAGCACCTACGCAATAGTAGCATATTTTGAACTTTTTATGGAGCAGACATTCTGCAAAGTGTGTGAGATCGATTCCTCACATGGATTTTAATGTATCAAATGTATTCCTTTATCAAACTATTTCATAGTGTATTTATACATAGGTTTGAAATAGGGTACGCGATAATCGTACGATTCAGGTAGATCCATTACTCGAGTGAGCTAGTGCTCGAGAACTCAGGAGAGTTATCTCCCTTTGGCGCACATGAGTTTTCGCTATGGATGACAACGTCACCTATGGACATATGTTCAAGTGTCTGAGGACAAATTGAAAGGTGTTTGTTCACTGTGGCATACCGTTGTCTTTTAAAGGCGGCACCATTACAACGATGAGAAACAATTGACTCTCCTCAGGAAGAATGTAACTCTAGGCCTATTACAAACTATACAGGTTTGGCGAAACTATAAAGACATAGGATTTATAATTCAACTAAATACCTTTAATAACGACCTTATTTTACTAAATGTTATCACCTTCTATGGCCAAAATGTGTTGAAAATACGTGGAATATGAATTTTAATTTTATAAAGAAAATCCATTATAATAAATAATGATCAATCTAATATTGCAAAAATCATCATAAGTACGCCATCAATAAGCCGGAGTATTATCTAATGTGCAAACTAAACCACGTACAATCACAATGTACCAAACTGACTGTAAGCCCTAAGGTCCTATTCCCTCTATTTGGCGCCCACGCGCCTCTGAGTTTCATGAGTCTATTAGTTTCATGCATGCAGTTGACACAGCCTGTATGAAAGGCGGGCGTGTTTCAGAGGCCCGCATCATTTTTGTTCATTGCTAACACAGTGGCAATTCACTACCAGTTGCTCACCTGGATTTTGTGTGGGGTGGGTGGGGTGCGGGGTATATTAACATTTAATAATTAAATGAATCATCTTAGTGCTTCAGTCATTCCTCTAATCAAATTCACAGAGACTACGCAGTTTCTCCGGGAAACTATAAGAGACATTGTTTCACTGTTGCAAGTGAACATGAATTAAGTAGACCATTTACCACAGTTATAAACTCCCTAAATCAAAACAAAACTTAAAAACGTGTCATTATAAGTGAAATAACAACTGCTTATCTCCGACTTTAGTCCTAATAGCGAGGCCCCCATTATAACATATGCGATGTATAGGAACCGCCAGGCATCACTTTGAAACAGTGTTGCCTGATCAACCTCATAGCTGTGTTTGGGGCTCTTCCTGTGTGTTTATGAGTTTGCGAACCGATTTTGCCAAACAAGCACAATGCACATGGTAACAATGCCATGTGCTATAGTGTGAGATTTATACACCAGGTGCATAATGATTCCTGGGAGTTGATTAACCTGACAGAATCGTTCTCCATGCCTACCGTGTCTGACACACAGACCCATATTGAAATCTTTATTTCAGTTTTAAAAGTGCCCATGCTTATACTCCCATCAATCTGAGCGTGACTACTCTCCGATCCCGACCCGTGAAGATCCAGGATAGAATTGGTCTTCAGCAACCCAAGTCTGGGGTAAAAGGCGACTTTGCTTGTGGCAAGAGGCGACTAACGAATCTGGTGGCCAGGTTGGCAAAACCGTTTGGCAAACAGTGTGTTAAGACGTTATGGCTAGTCGCCGATTATTCTTGAGAAATGTATAGATAGGAATGATTTGCAAATGTTGAAAATGTGTTAAGTCAAGGTAAGTCCTTGTCACTGCTTGAAACATGACAAGATCAAACCAAGATCAGGTGAACGTACAGGTGTGTTGTTGACACTGCTAGACGAGGGGCAGAAGTCCAAGTCTTTTTCATGAATAAATATCTGTTCTGTTCTGTTCTGATTGGGGCTTCCACGAGTCCAAGTTTTTGGACTCGAGTACCCGAGGGGTGAAACTCGACTCGTACTCGAGTACCCGAAAATTGAAAGTCCTTTAAGAATATTGGTTCATTAGATCAAAATTGCCATCTAAAAATATTAAAGCATGTTACAAGTTTAATTGAACTGCACTGAAATGTAAATAGAGAGCGTCCAC